GATAGCAAAGATTTATAGTTTTAGGTTTTTTCATTCAACAAAAGAGACCGGTATAATATAATTATTTAACCCCGAGAATTGGTCTCATACTTATTTAAGGTCAAATTTTGGCTAACAAACAACAAAGAGACAAACATATCTACAAATAATGTGTTTTAAATATTAGTCGCAGACGTTTCGGAATGACTTGAAGCGTTGTGTAACGAAATTGGCATGTCAGAATTCCTCCTTCGAGAAATAGGGCTAGTGTTCAGGACCAAATTTACCAAATTCAAATAATCATTCTATTCCACCCTTGGTTTTTAATGTTGCAAAAAAACAGATAATTATTTAGCCTTCTTTTTCGTCTTCCACTACGAACATTCGCCGGTAAGTCGCATATGTAATAAATAATGCACATGTTACCCGCCATGGAAACCAAATGGAGACAACATAATAAAATCAATTTCCGTTCCAATATGCCCCTCCATGTGTCCAGTATCACATGGCGCTTCGACGGTAATGATACTCTGACGTTTGACTAATACATACTACGAAGGATGGAACGTAACCTATCGTGTCTTACAAGTTAGATCATATCGCCAACCTGGTAGGAATAGATGGTTTAAATTTAATTTTATTTGCATTGGCTTTAGTTATTGACGATCAGTATTGGTAATAGATAATTTGAATTTTATTTACCTACGCTTGCAGTGTTTGCTTTTGTAATTACTAGTTTATTTTGCGTGATATTGGTAACTTGTAACTTGTATTTAACAGTATTTTAGACATTTGCGATATTAACTCAAATAAACTTAAATAATAAATAAATATTTTTATATATTAATTGAACAGCGATCAGAACTTTAGAGTTCTATGAGCTGTTCTGATGTTACTTAACTAACTACGTCTAGTTTTATTGATGACAAATCAAACAGTAGTGTTATCTCTATGTGATGAATATTTTCACAATTTCTGTAAAAGATTTTCTTTAGTTTTTTTTATAGCAATCTAATCGTAGACAATTCAGAAGTATGGCTTGTGAAGAATAACTATCCTGTGATAGCACCTTCTGTTATTCTGTAAAATTGATGATTTTTCAATGGCCGATGAATAAATATTAATAAGTAAAATCACTTGTGAATACACTTTTTATTTATCATTTAAATATATCGACCTGATACACTCTAGCTTAGAAAATTATCTGATAAGCGGGTTTGATCCCAACGTCAACCAGCTCGATATCAGACAACTTGATATCAAATTTCCACTTGAGGTTGTAGATCTCAAATATAATCTCATCTGAGAATCACCTTTCGTGGGCATTGCTGCATAAAAATTCGAAGATAATATAATAGATATAAATAATATATTATAGATAGCATACATATATAGATACAACTACTGAGTTGTTTTTTCCAACATGCCCTTGTAGTATACAATGTCCCTTTTCGGCCGACTATTGTAAATTCATCAAATTTATTGAATGTCCTTTACTGGACAGTTGTAAATAAAAGAGATAATAAAAAAAATTATAGATAGCATATAGTATAATCATAATAAACCACAACTAGGACAGGACAACTATTGGGTTGCCTTCACAATAACATATCATAACCATTACTAAATTTCTGCAATGTGGACAGATTCAAACAAAAATTAGAATCTTATGAATGATTTGAAATATTTGTGATTCCATCTGAAAATTCATACCATCAATATGTTATTAATTTTTATGTCAAGTTATGTACTCAATTAATTCTACATCCATTTTTTTTATTGAACAGCGGTCAGAAGTTAAAGGTCCTATAGAGCTGATGTGATGATTCTACTTGTTAGATAAAAAACGTCGGTTTTTATAGATACCAACCCAAACATTTGTCTTTTTATGAAGGATTTTATTATTACAATTTCTATAATAGTGATGAATTTTTATTGATGCTGTAATGCAGGGTAAGGAAACATATTACTAACAATCTCTCCATATAAAATCTGATGTCACTACTGCTTGACGATGATTCTCTGATTTTCAAGTTCAAATCTAATAGTTTTAACCACTTTAAAAATTTCACAATTTTAGTCAATAATATATATTGTCTATTGTTTATTCTGCATTTCGCTTATACAGAATAGCAATTTTGTTAATAAAATAGACTTTTTTATCAATTTTTTCTTTAATGATCGATGTGGTAATTGCGAAACAAAATCAAAATTTTGCGGACTATTTTCACATTTTTTAATTAAAAACGTGAAAATTTAATTTTAAATAATTAAAAATATTTTATAATTTAAAATGATGCTAAAATTTATTCTTTCTTATGGAGCATGTTGAAGTTGATCGAATTTGAATCGATACCTCTGTTGTGGTTATATGAAAATCTGATTTTCATATGATATAGATTTTAATTCATATAATTTCATCGACATCTTAAAACTGCAAATTGCAGACACGTGTGCTCTTCCGTCAATGGACATAATATTTCAAGTACACAACTATGAAAAGGTTACTATTTAATTCGTTTCTAAATAAATCATAAGCGATTGAATCTCGTCGAATGTTATCTATTTAGAGTTCGTAAACAATTTCAATTGCTACTATTGTTTTCTTAGTGTTATAATAATTTTATACCGTACTATTTCTGTAACACAATTTGTACTTACACCTACGTCACTAGGTTTCACAGAATAGGCGTGGGACTGATACTCCAGTAAATATCAACCTAAATTATTAAGAAGAATTGGACGCGTGCTGTCGAGTGACGTCAGATTCGCATTAAGTTAATATCATAATAATGCTCTTATTGGTAATAATAATTGCATAGAGCGTACACATTTTAATACACAACAAGGTGCAATTATTTCGAGTAATAAGGGCTCAGTGGGTTTCTGTTGCCATTTCGCATTGCAGGTTGTATGATTTATTGTCATGATTTACTAAACTTTGTCAGTTTTTATAGATGGCAACCCAAACCGTTGTCCCTTCTCTATGTATTACAATTTCTGTAACAGCGATACATTTTTGCAGCATTCACTTGAAAACATATTCAATTAATTGCCGAGTGCTTAACTTCATCGAATTTAAGACCTCTGATCTAATCCTAGATTTTTAACCACTTGACCACGGGCCAGTCCTCTATTGAAAATAGATGTAAAACGAATTATTCTTTAGGCATTCGAAATAGTTTTTGTGATCTTTTTCTTAGTGACACATTAATATTTGTAATTATGTGTGTCAATTCAAACAAAAAACAAATATAAAGATAACATTTAAGCAATAATTTGTGAATAGATTTAAATACCTAGTATTTAAGTGTTCATTTAGTATTCTTGCTGTATCATGCCTCACCTGAAAAACTTTATATTTGGCTGTACACTGACAAAGCCTGCTGAAATCACTATATTCAACATTAGAAATATAAAATTTTGCAAGTCAAATATGAATTTATATGAATAAGCATGATAATAATAAATAAATAAATTTATTGTAGTTATGAAACAATCATCAGCATATACAATGTTAAACTTACTCTAAGACAATAAATTACTAAATTAATTTTGAACAAATATATATTTGTAATAAAACGATAAATTAATTCTTAATTTATCTAGTGTTTTAAATTTATTATTCTAATGACCAACCTATTTATCAAACTACAATATTAATGAAAAAATAAATTAATTTGTTATAATTTCGAAACAATCGTATATGCAATATTAAAATAACTCACTCTAAAATAATAAGTATTTATATTTTTGAATGAATGAATAAAACTAAAGCTCATTGCAATATGTTCTTAATGAATCTGATGCCAAATGCAAAGTACGAGGAAAAAATTAATGAAAATTATGATTATATTATTATCAATTAGCAATGATGATATGTTTTATCAAATTATTCCATCTTGCACGGTTCTTGGCGAAAAAGTATTCTGAAACCTCTTCCAGTAACGTTGCCATTTGATCGGAAAGGAAGCATTATTGGTCCTGCACCATATTCTGAAAAGTTTCCAAATCAGATCGTTACTTTCCTATTCCAATTGACATTCATGTCGTGGTTGCAATTTAACTTGCATTATTAATTACGTGCAATATTCTTTATCAGTTGACCCAGTTGTGCTCGTGAATCGATTCAGATCTTCATTATACGAGTTTAATAATGAAGTATTTGTTCAGAATCGAGTTGGATTTTTTACATATTCATAACTACGTACTTCAACCTTAGTTTAATGATTGATTACATGATTACATTGATTACATGAATTTTCAGATATTTTATGGCTATAAAATATTGCTTTTAACACGAATCGTAAAGGATAAAAATACAATTCAATAAATCTCTACTCCTATTTCGAAAGTTTATTTTACTATTTAAAAATACCTTAATTTACCATAGCCTATGGTAAGAAATAAATATGTACACGAATAGAATGAAATTATCAATGAAAATATGAATATAGAATACGTGTACTATTTTAAGCATAGACGATATATTTTTCTATGTTATGCATCCCAAATTACCCCAAACCAGCATAATTGCTAGTTGCAGGCTTTCTAAAAATACTTTGCTCAAATATCATGTTAACTAAATTTTTAATATTTCTTGTCGATATTTGTCGGGCTCCACTGCGGTGAAAAATAGTTTAAATAATTAATTCTTGATTCTTATAGTATGTTGAGACGTAGTTGTTTTAGAATAATTTAATATTGATCAGTTATAATTCACTTTCTTGCCATAATAATCAATAGAAAATACGCATTTGTTCAGAAGATGAATAATTGTATAAGATTATACTGCCAACCATATAAAAATAGACTTGATTTGCAGCTGTTTTTACAAAGGTATTTGATTTCATTTTCTAAACAAGTTTACAATATTTATTACATATTATTTTTGCAGAAGTTGAGAATTTACATTAATTTACTATCTCTACATATGGGCAAATTTTGTACTATAACTAATGATATCATATTTCTATAACAATGACGTCATATCTATAATGATTGAAATTAATGTTTTGAATTTAGCTATTTTCTTTCTTACCAACAACTGGTGCATCTATTGTAAAGTCTTCAATTAATGAAGCATCGTTCAGTCTTTCTCCACAAAGTCGAACTCCATTGATGATGATAAAATCATCAGGACAATTGAACACTTCAACTCCTGCTTGTTCGGAGGAATTATTGGTTCTCCATCTGTTAATTAATATGTTGAGAAATATTATTTATATTCTTGTAATGAACAATATCAAAAATTAGTAGCATTGAAAGTTGGTAAGCAATCTAAATTTTTAATACAAAATTTATTGGTGATATGGTAATTGATTAAATTTAAATCAATTATTATTCAATCATATGAAAGATATTATTTAACCTTAGTTTTTACTTATTATCATCATAATCTATGATAATTATTATTATCATGTTCTTACCTAGGCCAACGTTTGAAATTTGGAAAAAATCTGCATTGAAATAAGTCACTGCGCAACGACCGGGTTTCCGTGTTATGCAGATTGCGTAATCATGTTATTCTGAAATGTTGAAAAATTATTTGATTTTTGTTTAAAAAATTAATTACAGCTGTCGTTAAAAAACTACTTGGACCTAACTAAATATCATACAAAATTGATATTTTTGCGTTCTTTAATTTATGCACATACAGTAAAGCTTCTTCTTCCGGATGCTAAAATGTACATATATAATGTCATTTTTCGTTATTGGCTTAATTTTTATGTTTGCGAGGATAGTGTAGTTAATAAAATTATTTGTTGAACGATTTGAAGATCTTGGTTGCACTTTTTGCCATAAAGTAAGATATGTTATTTCACATAACATAGCGAAAATTTAACTTCAACAGTTTTTGAAACATTCCGTTGTGCATTCTATATTGTGGAGATCTATCTGCGCTCCTTAAAGACTTTTGCACAAAACCATGATCATGGTCTATAAAGAAGTCTTCGGTACAAAAAGTTTGATACTTACAAAATATCCTGGCCTCCTGGCGTCGAGAATTCTCGATGAATCTGCATAATTAAAACTCTCAATGCGTCCGTCCAGGTCATCATAGTGCTGCAGGCAACCATCTGGTACATTTTGTTCTGGTGTCAATTGCGTTATCTTTATACGATACTGACGCAAACGTTCCGAATTTGTTAGGGCGCTCACCATGAGGAAGTTGGACTGTGATACGTCCAAATACACTAAAATATACATATTAGTGCATGTTAATTTGTAAGACTCTATATTCATCGACTTCCATATGCAAAGTTATTGATTTGGCCCAAAAATCGAAATATAAGTTTTATATGATTTCATATCTGTGAAGCTTTGGATAGACCGGCGTTTGGCTATTGAGCGGCTTATAAATTTTTTTGCCTGCGTATTTATGAGTCGAAATGTTTTAAATTTAGAAACCAAAACGTGTAAAATATAAATTTTAAATTCTGTTTTTGGGCGTTATCAACAATGTATTGTAGCACTAGTAACTTCATTTTAAATGATTACTGTGTTGTCCCGTATTTATTCCGCATATTGGAGGCAACTTGTTTCCCATTTGTCCAGAAATTAGAAGTTGATCCTCTATGCAATCTCCATTTGTCGGCGGTTGCATCTTTAATAAATAATGCGGTTTCAATGTAATTTAATTTGATCTATGTTTATTGTGTTACCTCAAAGACAAAAAGTCGAGTCTAAATTGTCGTACACCAGGTAGAGCCACCACTGTTATAGCACAAGCTAATTTTGATGAAGTTGGCTTGGGAAAACCAGGAGACTCGAAGTAACTCACGTTTTGTAGAGACATGTCGCCGCATTTTAGAGAAACTGGGAAATGGCATTTATAATAATACTAACAATAATAATATATTATTAGAATTTCGAACTTAAATTATTTAATTTATGTTCGTTGTCAAGGAAGTTTGAGGCTTCTCTCAACTAAACTATCGGACCTACACACTTTCCTGCGGACTACGTGTATTAGAGATATATAAAATGATGTGCCTTTTAGACAATATTAATGTTATTTACAAGTAATTTTGATTACAAGTATTACAAAATTTTTAATTTCACTTACAAATACAGCAGACACCAAAACCTTTCGCGCAACTGCCAGCCGCAAGTCCTCCAAGGCGATCGCATTCAGTCTTATGATAACACGTTCCATCAGTTGTTTCTAAAAGATCATACTCCAACGAACATGGTTTGTTCTCAAATTTAATAATACTGAACAAATCTAAAAATCTTGTATTGCCTTTTTTTCTTAATACATTTTTCTTTGAAACGGAATCAAGATTTTGCAAATTGGTCACTTCATTATTAGCTGTGTGCGTAACAATCTTCAAATCTGTTTTTCTAGAATCTAAATTTCTGAAATATTCTGTGAAATATAGTCTCCTATATCAAAAGCTTTCCAATTTTTATCATGCTTCATTATTGTATCATTTATGTTTTGTTAATAAATTTTACAGTTCCACTATTCACCATCGCCTGATTAAAAATGATAAGAAAAAAAATATAACTTAGAGTATTGATTTTAA